ACTAGGCCTGGGAATAAAAGAAGGATGTTGGTAACAATGACATCTGACTCTTTCTCTGTTGCCACTGTTTTTGTACCCCGATTCCTGTCCCTTCCTAAGTAAAAGGTGAAGGTAAATTGGTATACAATACTTGGCATTTTTTCCAACAAATGAATGAATGAAGGGGAGTGCATGGGTGGAAAAGTCCGATTTAAAAGCAAGGTTTCGCTTGAAAAAGGTAGACTTGGAACCTGGCCGGTGTGGCTCAGTGGTTGAGCATCAAACTATGAACCAGGAGGTCATGGTTCGATTCTCGGTCAGGGCACATGCCCGGGTTGTGGGCCCGATCCCCGGTGTGGGGTGTGCAGGAGGCAGCCGATCCATGGTTCTCTCTCATCATTGATGTTTCTCTCTCTCTCTCCCTTTCCCTGCCTCTCTGAAATCAATAAAAATATTTATTTATTTATTTTTTTTTTTAAAAAAGGTAGACCTTGTCCTGCTCAGCGCATGTGTGGGTTTGGCTTGCAGAGGCGGCTGACACAGATCCAAGCTCACTGCACTTTCACTGGAACAAAGTCCAAAGGCGAGCAGTCGTGGGCTGTTCTGGCGGCTCCACAATCAGGAAGGAGCCAGCCTTCTCCCAACCTACCATTCTCCACCCTGAGGCGTGGCTTCCACCGCAGGGCCCAGAACTGCTCAGATCCCAGTATCTATCTGCGTTTCTCCCCAGCAGGGAGGGGAAGCTGAGACCTCTTTCTTTAATGATATTTCCCAGAGACAGCACTGAACACTTGCAGTTGCATGTGTGTGGCCAGAATTAGGTATATTGCCACATGCAGATGTGACCAACACGGGCTTCAATGTCAGACCGAGCTGGATTCAAATCCTAGGTTTGAAGGACCTGCAGGGTCCTTAGCCTCTCTTAGCCTTCATGTCAAATAAATATGTTTACCTTTGATGGTCGTGGTTGGGATGTAAAACGGTATACATCAAATAACTAACACGATCTAGCGATACAGGTAGTTAACCAACAAATGAGAACCATTTATCACTTCTACTAGTGTGAGCCCAGTATGTTGCTTCTGTTCTGATATTTAGATTTGTCCTACTTTCAACAAAATGCTGCTATTCGCCAAGACTCTGGTATTAAACTGTTTGGTGTTGTTACAGGTAGGTTAGTCTCCCAGTGGGAGGCCCAGCCCAGCCCCTGGTCGCTCATAACCACCACCTGAAATTTCATGGGAATAATTTACTTCACTTCATAGCTGCAGACACTGTTTAACTGAGAGGCATTCCTGTATCCAGGCCGGCCTGCTGTGGATAATACCAATGTTTTATTTTGGTTTTGTGTTGGGTGATAAATGAATTTATTTGCCATTCTGGTCTTCAAAGGTTATGACTTGCTACTCTATACAGCAGTGCTACTGTGAGGCTCCACGCACGGATTGGTTTAAACGTATTGGTAACCAATGAAAAGCTTCCTTCGATGCCTTCAGTAGCAGCAGGAGGAGGCCTAATCTAGTCCTGAACCCAGCAGAGCCGAATTCATTTGTCCCTCGTGCCAGCCCTACTTCCTCAGTTCCAACTTGCAAAGGGCAGAACTTGCCCATCCAGCTCCACCCAGCTCGTTGACCTTATGTGGTCCTTGGATAATCTTTATAGAAAAGAACGTACTGGTGATTAAATAATCTGGGTTATTTGCCCACACGGTGTTCCTTTCCACACTCCTTTTGCCCTTTCATGCTCAGCTGGTCTTTCACAAAGATCAAAAGACACCTATGTGCTTTAAGCCCAAGACCTGAAAGGCGTTACCTAGCAAAACTGTCCAACCCAGAGTGCATCACAATAGCTTTTGAGTGATGTAAAGGGATCAAGTCCCCTAACTCTGCAGGGGGCCCTAGCTGTGCATCCAACTCCTGGAGGCAGCCCAGAGGACCCCTCTTTAAAGCAAGAAGGTCTCCAACTACTGCAGCGCGAGCAGGGGACACCGGTATGACCCTCACTGCCCGCACCTCTCTCTCCTCCCACTTCGTGGCTGCATTACTCAATAGCTGACTGCATTTTGAATGTTCTAGAGACTGGGGCTCACGATTTACAGACACTCTGTGGCGAACCTTTCCTAAAGACAAGAATTCTTTTACAAAGTGGACATCCATACTCAACTTTGAATTATTTGAATGGTTCTAGCTCAGCAATTTATTTTTCTCTTAGAAATGGGGTATACCCCCATTAAGGTATCTGACTCTATGATGCCCGACCAACAAAGCTTAAAAACTGTTAACTGAGTCACTAGGTTACTGAGTTGATTGACTGATAGATTTTTTTTTTTTTTCATTTATCCATTCATTCCAAAGGATGCATAGAGCACTTCCTTGGGTGGGAAATGACAATGAGGTAGGAAAGCAATGAGAGTGGAGATACTGGCCACCAAAACAATATGGTTCCGGCATCTAGAAGTTTCCATTGCAGCTGGACAGGCAAGGCACTGTATGAAACTCATGTCTTCTTCTTTGAAGAATCTCTAGAGCAGTGGTTCTCAACCTTCCTAATGCCGCGACCCTTTAATGCAGTTCCTCATGTTGTGGTGACCCCCAACCATAAAATTATTTTCGTTGCTACTTCATCACTGTAATTTTGCTACTGTTATGAATCGTCATGTAAATATCTGATATGCAGGATGTATTTTCATTGTTACAAATTGAACATAATGAAAGAATAGTGATTCATCACAAAAACAATATGTAATTATATATGTGTTTTCTGATGGTCTTAGGCAACCCCTGTGAAAGGGTCGTTCCACCCCCCCAAAGGGGTCGCGGCCCACAGGTTGAGAACCGCTGCTCTAGAGCCTTGTCCACACCCGGGCAAAGTTGTCACTCACTAAATCGTTTCTTAAATGATAGAGTTTGTAAATGAATTAATAAACCAATGAGGAAAGATCTGAGAACCAAAATGCCTAATAGAATTCATCAAGGGCTCTGGGAATTCAGAGGCCAGCAATGGGCTGCTTGGAAATCAGAACAGAGACCTTGAATAAGGCCCTGAAGAACTGGCAGAATTTAGACTAGGCAAGGAAGAGGGGAAAAGCAATTCATAGAAGGGTTGGGGGAGGGTGGAAGGGGAGGAAGAGGTGGGTAACCAACCTTCCAGAACCGGGAAGACTGGCTTCCTGAGAAAACAGAAGCAACAGAAGACTGGCAAAGGAACTCCGTTACTGAAGACCCTTTTCTACACGTCCTCTCACAACACATGTGCCCAAAGGCAGTTGGGAGCAGTTGCCAGAGAGCAATCCTCCAGGCAGCCTGGCTGCTGTCTGATCCTAAGGGGACCCAGTTGATGGGTCACAATTCTGAGCAAGCACCCCACCCCCACACCTTCTCTACACTGATTGGAGGAATCGGCTTCATATCAGAACTCTAGTTGCAAGGGAGTCTGGGAAATGTAGTGCTCAGCCTGAAAGCAGGTACAGTGAGAAGGCACCCTAACAAGGGTGGGAAGGGGGCTAAGTGCCCAACTGGCGCAGTATTTTTTTTTTTTTGCTTTTGAAGAAAAGCGCCCTAGCTGGTTTGGCTCAGTGGATAGAGCATCGGCTGGTGAACCGAAGGGTCCCAGGTTCAATTACAGCCAAGGGCATATGTGCCTGGTTGTGGGCTTGACTCCCAGTAGGGGGTGTGCAGGAGGCAGCTGGTCAATGATTCTCTCTTATCATTGATATTTCTATCTTTCTCTTCCTCTCTGAAATTTATATATATATATATATATATATATATATATATATATATATATATGCCTAAGCGACCATTTGACCAGTATCTATGATGCGCACTGACCGCCAGGGGGGCAGACACTCAACGCACAGGCATGGAAACATGGAACAGACTGATGAATCTCAGAGGAAGAGGGGAGAGGGAGGTCAGGAAGAGATTAACCAAAGATCTTATATGCATACTAGAGGCCCAGTGCATGGGGTCCCTCCACCTCCAGCATCTCCCAAGTAGTCCCAGATTTCGACAGGCCAGGCTGAGGGACCCCACCAGTGCATGAATCCATGCACCGGGCCTCTAGTTTTAAAATAAAAAAGAAAAACATATCTGCATGCATTAGTTTACGCTTCTGTGTCTTTATGCTCCTTTTCTAGTCTATTTCCTTCCCTAAATAGTCAGGCAGAAGATCTCTATTTTTAAAAAAATATTTTTTATTGATATTTAGAGAGAGAGGAAGGGAGAGGAAGAGAGAGATAGAAACATTGATGATGAGAGAGAACCATGGATTGGCTGCCTCCTACACACCTCCTACTGGGGATCGAGCCCTGTGGGGAACCAATATAGGGTTGAGCCTCGGACTGACCTGTTGGCAAAGTCACAAACAAGTCCCTGTTCAGGCGCCAGATGTTGTAAATGTTTCCCTCCATGTCCCGCGTGGTTGAGGGTTCAAGATCTGGAAGAGGAGCCGCACACAAATGAAAGAGAAAAGACAAGAGATAATTGGGGAATATTGGGGGCCAGGCGGGTAAGTCCAACTCGGGAGGAAGGACTTCCACTGGTGCTCAGGCCGCATCAACCTTTTATAGTCAGAGGTAAACAAGGCAGTGGTCACCATAGTTACACAGTTCTTGTGAGTTTCACCTGTTTTGACCATAGTTACACTTCCTGCACTTCCCTCAGCCCATTAGCTTCTCAGATAAGATCTAGGGAGTGTTATAAGGACAAGCCTAATTATGCTAAGAGGACTGAGCCCTCTAAGCTGGGACTTGTTTGTGACTTTGCCAACAGGTCAGTCCGAGACTCAACCCTATATCGGTTCCCCACAGAGCCTGCAACCCATGCATGTGCCCTGACTGGTAATCCAACCCTGACCTCCTGGTTCATAGGTCAATGCTCAACCCCTGAGCCACACCAGCCAGCAATCTCTACTTTTAAGAAGGACTTCGTAGTACCAGATGGCTCTCACCTGGAAATGTATATAAAATTGCCATGGGAACATTCTTCACATTTTTTTTTTCTTTCAGAATCCCACTCATCATGACCGCTGTCCGGCTACGACAATTTGTTGACCGCCACCCAGTGATCCCACCCAGGTAACCTCCTTCCAGAGGCAGACAGGCAGGCGCCTGGGGAATCAGAACCGATCGACAGACAGCTGCTGCCAGGGGGCTCTAGTGAAGTGTCTTTGGGTTTTAGTTGTTAAAAACAAAACAAAAACTAAAAACTCCCACACTCGTGGCAGAATCCAAGCAAGCGGCAACTCCAAATCCCCAAAAGATTGAAGGACATTGGTTTTTGCTTGGGAAAGGCTTTAGCAAGAAGACAGGGATCCCTTTACTCTGCTTGGAATCCACCAGCCACTCCTGTGCTTCTGCTACACGGGAGGTGACCGCACAGACGGAAACTAGGGCTGAGTATCACTCTTTCTCCAAGTTCATCCGTGGCCTAGGAATAACAAGTCCTAGACGTGTCTCATTGGGCTAAGCTCATCTTGCTGAGAGAGACTGTACAACAATCTGTGAACTCTAACCCCGCCCGCCCTTCCCCACTCGCCATGGGATCTGCAGAGCTTTGTAAACTATAAAAATCCGGGTAGGAACCTTACACAGCAAGTGATTTTGGGTCAGCCTCCAGTGACTTGGTGGTTTTGAGCAAACCTCGTGTTCATCCTAGTATTTAGTTAATTTTAACAATATTTAGTCAACTAAGATAAGTTCTTTTGCTTCCAGAAATTATCTAAGAAAGAAGGGGGGTGAGGGATCTTGGTTCCCAGGTATTTTGAGAGTCCTTTCAGAGAAAACACAGAGCCTACCTCTCGCTCCCTGAAACCCCGAGAGGAGGAAGCAGGGCGGTTCCAGTGGCTCCTGGTTTCTGTCTCCCCACAAGTGCTGGCTTTCTGTGTGTTTGACATCTGCTCTGTCCACGGTTGGGCGTATTGAACTGTGGTCTCATCTCCTGGGGAAAATGGAAACAAACTTCCCCTTGTGGCTGCTGCCTGGGGCTCAGTGGAACTAACTCAGTCACTGGGCCTGACCTGAGCCAGCCGTCGGCAGCCTGAGGGTTTGGGTGGAACACGGTGTGACAGGCACTGAAGTCGCAAGGCTGGCTGGATTCCGTTCTCTGTGTTCATCCATCAGAGCGCCACGAGGAGGCACCTGTCTGAGCTACCCTGGGTGCCCCGCCCACCACCCACCTTCAGGACTCACTGTGGAGCAGGGCTGTGTCTACGTTCTGCCTCGGCAACAATCGTGGGTCCAATCCACCAGCAAGCTCAGTCCTGCCTCCAGGATCCATCTCCCGTGGGAATGACTTACCATCTCCACTGCCAACATTGGGTCCAGACCACCATGGACTCTCCCTTGCTCATCTACACCAACCACCACTCTTGTTGTCCTACAACCCATTCTCCGGAGAGAGCTGCATGAAATATAAATTGGATCAAAGCCACCCCCCTTTGCATAAAGCCCTGTGATGATTGCATTTTGCATAAAATCCAAACTCGTTGCCAGGGCCTACAAAGCCTACATGAACTGGCCTTGCCCATCTACAAAGCCCCATTGTCTTCTTCCATTCCTTCAATAGGCCACACTCCTTCATTCCTCGGGGCTTTTGCACATGTCCCTTCTCCCTGGATCGCTCCCTCCCCCACCCTGGCCTTCCCTGTCTTAACTAGCCTCCTGTCACCACCCTGCTTAGCTCCTTGTCAGCTGTTCAGAGAGCGATTCCTGAACCCCCCCGGCTAGAAAAGGTCTTCTGTCCACCTCTCCAGCTCTGTTACTTATTATTATTATTATTATTGACTAGAAGCCCATTGCATGAAGATTCATGCAATAGGCATTCCTTCCCCTGGCTGCCGGCACCAGTTTTCCTCCGGCACCTGGGACCCAGGCCTTTGGTCCGGCAGCAGCAGAGAAGCCAAGCCTCTTCAGTCTTCAGCCTTCAGCCTTCGCTCCACGCCTGCGTATGCAAATTAACTGCCATCTTTGTTGGGTTAATTTGCATAGTTGCTCTGATTGGCTGGTGGGCATAGCGGAGTGACACCAATTTGCATGTTTCTCTTTTATTAGTGTAGATTTCAGAAAGGAAGGGAGAGGGAGAGAGAGCTAGAAGCATCTGTGATGAGAGAGAATCATTGATGGGCTGCCTCTTGCATGCCTTCTACTGGAGATGGACCCCGCAACCCAGGCATGTGCCGTGGCCGAATTAAACAGTGACCTCCTGGTTCATAGGTCAATGCTCAACCGCTAAGCCACACCGGCCGGGCTCTACTTCTGTTATACTCCATCTCACGCCTTTTTGGGAAACATGGCCTCGGGGCCCTTATCACAACTTATTTTATTTCTTCTTGGTCTCACCCACTGGAATAACAGTTAACACTTATGCAACTCTTATCCTGTGGCAACCACTGTACTTAACCTTCACAACAACTTAGGCACAGAGTGGTTAAGTGACATCCCAAGATCCCACAGCTAGTAAGTGATTGGCAGAGGTGGGATTTGAACCCACTGGCCTAGCCCCAACATCTGTGCTCTTGATGCCTGCACTCTATTGCATCTGGTTAGCTCCCTAGGGTGGCTCGTTTGCCTCTCCCTACAATCCACCATCATCACTTCTGCCCAGCTGATTGTCACATGTGGTAGGCCCTATGTCCATTTGCTGAAAAAAAATGAAAATGAATGAATCCATTCTTCATTGGGAAAAATAATGATTCTGTCATTTATTTGTGGTTTGGTTTTCTGGGTTCAATTCCAGGCAAGGGCATATACTTTGGTTGCAAGTTTGATCCCCGGCCCTGGTCGGGGAGTGTGCAGGAGGCAACCAATCAATGTGTCTCTCTCATATCAATGTTTCTCTCTCTGTCTCTTCCCCTCTCTTCCACGCTCCCTAAAAATCAATGGGAAAATGTCAGGTGAGGATTAACAACAAAAACAAAGACAGTACAAGTAAAAGAATGTGAAATATCTTATTTTTAAAAACCGTTAAACTCTTCTGAAAAAAGTAATCATATGTACATATTATAGATGATTCTGGATGCAACATGGAGTTTGGAGAACTGGGTTTGGTCCTGGCTCTGGCAGTTGCTAGCCGGGGGATATTTAGCGAGTCTGCCCTCTGAACATCAGTCTCCTCTTCCACAACCAGGTGTAAATATTTACCTGGCAAGGTGACCGTGAGAATTGGATGAGATCATCTCTGCACAGACACTTGGGCAGCAGGAGGCAGACATAACAGAGAATTGCAGTCACAGCCGTAACCCCCTCGGGCCATGGGGGCCAGGCTCCTGAGGGACCGACACTCCCGACCTCCCCGGGGCATATCGAATGGTGTCTGCGGTTACAGTCACCCTCGCAGGGGACAGGTCTGCTCTTGTCTGAACTGAACACGTCGCCTCAGAGAGCCGAGCTGTCCTGGACTGTAAATAACGCATCAGACACAGCGGACACCTGCCCGCTCCCAGGAGAGCAAAGGCCTGTGTGCAGCTAATGCAGAAACTGAAGGGGTGGGAGCCGAGTTGGGCGGGGCTCCTTGGCCAGGCCCGAGGGCTGGCACGTGCTTTCCAGCCAGCCATCGGTTTGCCCCACACCCACCCTGGGAGAAGCCCGGTGCTGACTGACAGCCAGGTGAGGCATTTCCGTGTAGGACAGCGGTTCTCAACCTGTGGGTCGCGATCCTTTTGGGGGTCGAAGGACCCTTTCACAGGGGTCACCTAAGACCATAGGAAAACACATGTATAATTACATATTGTTTTTGTGATTAATCACTATGCTTTCATTATGTTCAATTTGTAACAATGAAAATACATCCTGCATATCAGATATTTACATGACGATTCATAACAGTAGCAACATTACAGTGATGAAGTAGCAACGAAAATAATTTTATGGTTGGGGGTCACCACAACATGAGGAACTGTATTAAAGGGTCACAGCATTAGGAAGGTTGAGAACCACTGCTGTAGGAGGTAGCAATTCTCTTCCAAAAACTGATGTTTTAGCCGCTTTGTTGGGAGCTTTCTCCTGTTTGAAGGCCACATAGAAGGGATTGGAAAGTCTAACCAAGGAGTTAGAGGCAAAGTGTCCCATCTTCAGCCTCTCCAATACCCTCCTCCTTACACGTCCCCACGGTCCGTTCCTGGGCCAAAGCCCGCCCAGGGACCTTCCCACAGGCTGGATGGCAGAGCGTTAGCTGGTGCTGGTGAAGGGCTCCTCCCCCAAACAGCTTGGGCTGCCACCTGCACTCGGCAGGTACTGGCCGTGTGCACGCAAGGGAAGAAGAGTCCATGGTCAGGGCACAGCCCAGCAAACAGCACAGCAGCTGTGAGAAGCCAGTGTCGCTCTGGAGCTCCACTGGCATCTAATACACTGGCACATGGCCCGGGGGAACCATTCAGACCTGGATGGCGCCTACGGAAGCCAGGGCTCCCACCCGGGGCACCCAGAAATTTCATTTGTTCCCAGGATTGTGCCAACTCCTCTCTCTCCTTATGACTCAGTCCCCACTGTTAGTTCCTATCCAGGCCTCAGTCATATTATCCACGGCTGGGCAGGCCCAGACAGCCTGTGGTTTCTCTGAAAATCAGAGCTCCCCAAGGTCCTGTTTGCACAGACAGACCCGCCCTACCCACAGAGCTTGCCTTTCATACCAGGTAGGAAGCGGGGACCCCACCGGTCCCCACATGCCCTGCTCTGATCCTAACTCTGTCCAAGTCTTTTTTTAAAAATATATTTTATTGACTTTTTACAGAGAGGAAGGGAGAGGGATAGAGAGTTAGAAACATCGATGAGAGAGAAACATGATTAGCTGCCTCCTGCACACCCCACACTGGGGATGTGCCTGCAACCAAGGTACATGCCCTTGACCAGAATCAAACCTGGGACCCTTCAGTCCCCAGGCCGACGCTCTATCCAGTGAGCCAAACCGGCTAGGGCTCTATCCAAGTCTTGACTTCTGAAATTGCCTCACCTGGAATCTCTTCCCCATCCTATTTGCCTCCCCAAACCCTAGACACCTGCCCAAACCCTAGACACCTGCTCAAACCCTAGACCAGCGGTTCTCAACCTGTGGGTCGTGACCCCTTTGGGGGTCGAACAACCCTTTCACAGGGGTCACTGAAGACCATCGGAAAACATATATATATATATAATTACATATTGTGTTTGTGATTCATCACTATGCTTTCATTATGTTCAATTTGCAACAATGAAAATACATCCTGCATATCAGATATTTACACGACGATTCATAACAGTAGCAAAATTACAGTGATGAAGTAGCAACGAAAATAATTTTATGGTTGGGGGTCCCCACAACATGAGGAACTGTATTACAGGGTCGCGGCATTAGGAAGGTTGAGAACCACTGCCCTAGACCCATTGGCCTTCATTCAGACCACTATTTCGGCACCTAAAGAGCATTCTGAGGACAAGAAGTGCTGCTGAGTCAGCTTGAACCTAGCAGGGTGTGCAGAGAAGGCTACATACGTTCCATAAGTGATGTTTGGACTGGAGGTACATAGCTGAAGTTTCCATTCGTTGCCAACACATATTGGCGAGCTACTTCATGGTTTTGCTACTGACTCTTCCCTGGAATTCTTACAGTTCCTACTGAGTCCTCAGAATCTGCGGAAGGCCCTAAAAGACTGCACATATCACAAACCCTATAGTCCTCCAACGATGGCCATCGTCCTGTGTCCCCTCTCCCAGGGAATGGCAGCATCTTCCCAATGCTAAAGCCTAAGACTGGCCTTGGACAGCTCCCATCTTTTACCTCAGTCCTCTCTCCTACTGCATCCCCTCTCCTCTCCATCCACCTTTTCAACACATTGCTCAGAGCTTCACCACACCCCACAAAACGACTAAAATCTCCTCCTACCTGCCTTTCTACTCCTAGCCAGATTGTCCTCAGATTTGTTTTCCACCAACTTTCTAAAATAAAAAGTGCATTATATTTGTAATACTTTAAGCAATAAAACAAAATTTTTTTAAAAAAAGGATTAACCAGCAAATAAATTAATTTTAAAAAAGTGTATTATAGCCTGGCTGGCGTGGCTCAGTGGTTGAGCATCGACCTATGAACCAACAGGTCACGGTTCAATTCCGGTCAGGGCACATGCCCAGGGTTGAGGGCTTGATCCCCAGTGTGGGGCGTGCAGGGGGCAGCCAATCCATGATCCTTTCTCATCATTGATGTTTCTCTCTCGAGCTCCCTCTCCCTTCCTATCTAAATATATATATATATATTTTAAATATATTTTTATTGATTTCAGAGAGGAAGGAAGAGGGAGAGATAGAAACATCAATGATGAGAAAGAGTCATCGATCAGCTGCCTCCTGTACGCCCCCTACAGGGGATCGAGCCCGCAACACAGGTATGTGCCCTTGATCGGAATCGAACCTGGGACCCTTCAGTTCACAGGCAGATGCTCTATCCACTGAGAAAAACCGGCCAGGGCTATATATATATTTTTTTTAAGTAGAGGAAATAATATAAGAAACCCCCATTTTCTAATTCCCACTTTTCAACTATGATCAACATTTGCCCCACTGGTTTTAAATATCGTTGTATTTTTTTTTTCCTGATATTTTGAAACTGACACATCAAATGATTCCTGAAAACTGGATAAAAAAGACACTCCCATCAAGAAAGTCCAAGGGGGTACAGCATTGGGAAGGTAGTCAATAATATTGCAATAATTATGTGTGGTGCCAGGCAGGTACTAGACTTGTCAGGGGGATCACTTTATACATTACATAAAGGTCTCGTCACTATGCTCTGCACCTGGAACCAACATAATATTTGATGTCAACTGTAATTAAAATATAGTCTTGAAATAAAAAGTAATTAATTAACTAATTAATTAAAAGTTGGGGAGGGGAGTTCAAGGAGTTCTGTGCCAGGAAATGGGGGCAAAGACCGAATATCTTCTTTCATTACATCACAGCTGGCACTCCTCTCTAAAGAACTGATCGTAGTAATTGCCTCTTTCTCGCCCCTCACTTTCTCCACCAGCCCATTCATTGCTCATCAAGGCAAGGACCTCCTCGGCTACCTCCCTGGGCAGCTGGCACGAATCCATGTTGATTCCAGTGTAAGGAGCTCTCCCAGGTGAGACACCTAACAATTACACTCAAGTTAGAATGATACGTTTTTTAAAAAATGGGAATCACACTTTGTAATAACAAAAATGAGTATGAGAACAATAATAATTATTATTTGATGGATAGAAAACGGTTAGAAGGAAATACACCAAACTGTTAACAACAGTTATTTGTGAGTGGTGAGATGGTGTTTGTGTTTTATATCTTCCAGATTTTTTTCTAATGAGCAGATATTACTTTTATAGTCAGCAATAAATATGGAACTTTACTAAATTATCTAAGAAATGTAATCACCATGAGTGTAGAGTTTCAACTTAGTCAAATAATTTAACTTTCCTGAGTCTGTTCCCTTCCCGGTAAAATGACAAATTTGACCTAAATGGTTTCTGCCTCTGTGCATATCATTTTAACAACAACAAGAAAAGATACTTTGATGTTGCGTTCTAGTGTGTAGAGGCTGGAAACCACAGGGGTTAAAAGCAGCAATCTGAGTAATTTTATGAAATGTTTGATCTTGGACAATTTTCATTGCATCTCTGACTCTCAGTTTTCTTATCTGTTAAACAAAATAATTGATATAAAATCCCAGAGCATAGTAGGCACTGAAAATATGATTGCTATTACTCTGAGTTCATCTGGCATATTTTACAAATTTTTCTTTTTCTCTTGATCACCTTTGATATAGTCATGTCTTATTTGAAGTGCAGTTGGGTAGCATAAAAGCTGAGACTGGAATCTATCCACATTTTCTGATTCCCAGTTCAAAGCCTTTTGTTCCAACTCAAATACATACTTGACTTTGAAAAGCCAAGGGGGAAACCTAGTGCAAATGTCAATCAATGATTTTATTAAGTTTCTAGATAAGAATAAGAAGGAAATGCCCTAACCAGTTTGGCTCAGTGGATAGAGCGTCGGCCTGCGGACTGAAAGGTCCCAGGTTCGATTCCGGTCAAGGGCATGTACCTTGGTTGCGGGCACATTCCCAGTAGGGGGGTGTGCAGGAGGCAGCTGATCGATGTTTCTCTCTCATCAACGTTTCTAACTCTCTATCCCTTCTCCCTTCCTCTCTGTAAAAAATCAATAAAATATATTAAAAAAAAAAAAGAATAAGAAGGAAAAGAAAAGCCGGTTGCCTTCTGTGACTTGTGACTGGGATAGAAGGGCTGCGAAGGGAGGGACAGGGGACTGGAACCCCTGAGCCATCTACTGACAGCTTGGCTAGGGCTGGCCTTGATTGACCGAGTCTGGCCAACACTGTGTTGGTGGCCTCCTGGCTACTTCCAGGGAATGAATTTCAGCTGATGAGAAAATGGAAAGCTTTTCTTCGACTGGGTGCTCAGCAAGCTGTTTCTATTTTCATTTAGATCTCTCATAGACTTGGCCATGCCACCAGAGGAGAAACGTCAATGCCAGCCTCAGCTAGACCAACAAACTCTCATCCGATATATTTGTTTTCAAAGACACTCCAAGCCTGACGAAGCATGGTACAAAGAAACCACGTACCAAAAACACTATTCGCTGCCATTTTACGTGCTTGGTAAGTCAAGCCAACTGCTCTTACCCTCTGAGACCAGCCCCGCCTGGGCCACAGAGAAGAAACTCCCACGGGCTTGCCTCTGCTTCTGGGACCAGCCAAGGGGGGGGGGGGGGGGGGCGTGTGTCCCGGTGCAGGAAGAATCCTGAGGTCAGCCCAAGGAAGTCTTCCTCCCTTCCTAGCTCTCTGTAGAGACTTCAGGAATGAAGATATACAAATGTCCTTGAGAGGAAGCAGCTCAAGTCTGATCACTCCTCACATATTGTTGAGGAACTCTACTCATTCTCAATATATATATATATTTTTATTGATTTCAGAGAGGCAAGGGGAAGGAAAGAGAGATAGAAACATCAAAGATGAGAAGAATCATTGATCAGCTGTCTCCTGCAGGCCCCCAGGCATGTGCCCTGATTGGGAATTGAACCAGTGACCTCTTGGTTTCATGAGTCGATGTTCAACCACTGAGCCACACCAGCTCATTTTATTTTTCAATGATGACTTTCAAAGAAGGCACCCCCACAAATCCATATGAACTGTAGTTTCACTTTGTCAAATGGTGTGAAAATTTTAAAAAAATCATTTCCCATGTTCCTTCCACCCCCAAATCTGTATCAGATATTTCAGGTTTGATAGCATTCACTGTGGGCATATATATTCACTAACTGGAATGTCACAAGGAAGCCCCCAGAAGTTTGTCATGTGTTCTGAGAACATTTGCTGTTGAATTTACCTGGCTAACTGTGTAAAATTCAGCTCCATTGTAACTTCTACAATGAGATCTCTAAGGTTCTTGGATAGGATTCCTCCTACTTCTAAACTACTTTGATATATGTCCTGGGAATACTTGGTAATCTTCAAGGTCAGAATTGCTGTTCAACTCCATAGCAAGCCTTGAGAAGTTAAATGGTTACTAATTACATACAGGATCACATTTAATTAAATTAGATTGTAAAAATCCTCCAGGGATGGCATTTCTAGTCGTACTCTCTGGGCAAATGAGATGTTATTTGTTATTAATATCAAGAAATGTTTGTTTAAATGCTGTTGAAGTGCTATGGGAGGTGGAATAGAACTGTGAAAAGATTAGGGACTTAGCCGCCTGATAATCCCGGGTCAAATGGGGGCGCCTTCTCTTCCAAGTCCTGTAATTTTGGGCACATTAATTAATCTATTTGAGATGGCGGGAATATCAGTGGGCCTTTGAGGGTTACTGTGAATATGAGTTAATGTAAGCAAAACACCTAATACAGAGCATAGCACTGTACATATGAAGTCTTGTTAAAATGCTGTTGTTAAAACATTTTTTTCTTGCCGAAACCGGTTTGGCTCAGTGGATAGAGCGTCGGCCTGCGGGCTGGAAGGTCCCAGGTTCGATTCCGGTCAAGGGCATGTACCTGGGTTGCGGGCACATCCCCAGTGGGGGATGTGCAGGAGGCAGCTGATCCATGTTTCTCTCTCATCGATGTTTCTGACTCTCTATCTCTCTCCCTTCCTCTCTGTAAAAAATCAATAAAATATTTAAAAAAACAAACAAAAAAAACCACATTTTTTTCTTAATGTTTTTTTTATTGATTTTTAGAAAGAGAGGAAGGCAGAGGGAGAGGGAGAGATAGCAACATTGATGAGAGACAAATATCAATAGGCTGCCTCCTGCACGCCCCCTACTGGGGATTGAGCCTGCAACCCGGATATGTGCCCTGACCGGGAATTGAACCAGTAACCTCTTGGTTCATAGGTCGACACTCAGCCACTGAGCCACACCAACCAGATGAAACACCCTGGTTTTTGATTCATTAAGTGTAGATGCAATGACTGGGGTCTTCCACGCAAGCCCTCCTTTACATAAGCAGAACTCTTAGTGGTTATAGACTGTAAGATAGGAGGGGATGTGCTGTAAGTGGTTATAGGCTGTAAGATAGGAGGGGATGCCAATAGGTATGAATTTAGGGATGGTAACAACTGCAGTTTGAGACAAAGAGGATACAAAGTGGTCCATTTATAATGTAAAGTTTCAAGGGTTTGGGGGAAATCTAGAATTAGGATGTCAAAATGCAAATTTGTGATTTATTTTCATTACATTTTTGCATAATTCAGTATTATGAACCAGAGATTAAGCCACATAAAAATCCTTTGGCCCTAGCTGGTTTGGTTCAGTGGATAGAGGGTCGGCCTGTAGACTAACAGGTCCCAGGTTCGATTCTGGTCAAGGGCACATGCCTGGGTTGTGGGCTCAATCCCCAATAGGGGGCATGCAGGAGGCAGCTGATCAGTGATTCACTCTCATCACTGATGTTTCTATCTTTCACTCCCTCTCCCTTCCTCTCTGAAATCAATAAAAGTATATTAAAAAATAAATAAAAATAACCCTTTGACTAAGTCCTTTTTTACATAGCTTTGAAACATATTCCTTTGTCTTAAATCCCACAAATTTTGTTATTTTATACAATTGCTGTTGAAATGAAAGTGAGTTAAAATTTAGGAGTGAGTAGTCCTAAAGTAAATCATTAACTTGTTTTAAATTCCAGATTGGGACCAGAAATTAGGCACAATTTCCTCGAATCCTCGACCAATCAATTCACTACCGGAGTTCTGCTGTTGTGAAGAGAGGTGGTGCTGAAATAAAAGCTTTAAACCAAAATAGCTATGGTGCTTGAAAACATTTGGCGTTCTTAGGTGACTCTTTTAGACTAAAAACATGATAACTGACCTACTTTTTTAAAAATATATTTTTATTGATTTCAGAGAGGAAGGAAGAGGGGGGAAAGAGAGAGAAAAACACCAGTGATGAGAGAGAATCATTGATTGACTGCCTCCTGCACGCCCCGGGCATGTGCCCTGACCGGGAATTGAACCATGACCTCCTGGTTTATAGGTTGAAGCTCAACCCCTGAGCCACACTCGCTGGGCAGAACTACTTTTAATTTACATGTGTATCCAATGGTTGGAATCTTAAAATATTTACATGTTGCAAATTCTTTTCAGATTAAGTTGGTCATCCCAGGGTAGGGAATCAATACCCAGCCCACTACCAGTCTTGCGGCGGCTGCTGGTAAACTGTCTTACATTTAGTCCAGTGGTTCTATGTGGGGCCAGGAAAGAATACAATCGCATCCGCTCAGTAACTGCATCACTGAGAGAGAGAAAAAAGAACTGGGAGGTGGCCAAGGAGGGAGACCCTAGAGGTGCTCAGGATGCAGTGACTCAGGTATGGCACAAGACTGTAGTGATATGTGAGACTGGGAGGAGGGGCGGAGGAGGAGGGAGAACTTACTGAAAGTTTGTGTACAGAGTTACCACTCCTGTCCTAGCTGGTGTGGCCCAGTGGATAGAGTGTCAGCCTGAGGACTGAGGACCCCGGGTCCCATTCCCGCCAAGGGCACACGCCCCGGTTGCAGGCTCGATCCCCAGTAGGGGGCGTGCAGGAGGAAGCCAATGATTCTCATCATTGATGTTTCTATCTTTCTCTCCCTCTCCCTTCCTCTCTGAAATCAATAAATATATCTATAATAATAAAAGCATAATATGCTAATTAGACCGGACGTCCTTACAGACGACCTTCCGGATGAAGCCAGGGAAGCCTGGGTCCCAGGTGCCAGAGAGAAGCGGGTGCCAGGAGCAGGGGAAGAAAGGCCTGCGCCTGCACGAATTTTGTGCATCGAACCTCTAGTATTTAAAATAAGAGTTACCATTCCTATCCTTGAAAGAAAGCTGACAACTAGGCATCAAGTCCCCAGGCCAAAACCTAGAGGTTCTTCTCTAAGCAATTAAATAATCCCAAAGAATAGAGTCCTACCTTCTGGCCCCTGGGACCCCCATCATACTAGTTCAGTGATGGCGAACCTATGACACGCGTGTCAGAGGTGACACGCGAACTCATTTTTTCGGTTGATTTTTCTTTGTTAAATGGCATTTAAATATATAAAATAAATATAAAAAATGTAAGTCTTTGTTTTACTATGGTTGCAAATATCAAGAAATTTCTATATGTGACACGGCACCAGAGTTAAGTTAGGGTTTTTCAAAATGCTGACACACCAAGCTCAAAAGGTTCGCTATCACTGGACTAGTTGGTTCCCAACTCAATACCCCAAAGTGAAGCCTGCCAGTCAAAAAGCTTCCCCAAGAGCAAAGTTTCATACAGCTTTGCACTGTCTCAGTCTTAGCTGTAAAAAGCCAACCAAGGGTCACTGGAGTTGAAAAAAAAAATGAGTTACACTTTTTGGGTAAAAGAACGGGTTATTTCTATCGGCTTCTGGACCATTGCTGAAAATGTTTCAATACGGCAATGCTTACAGCCAGATAAGAATGTGGACTTGAACATGCTTACTTCTGCCCGGCCGGTGTAGCTCAGTGGCTGAGTGTTGTACTGTGAACCAGGTGGTCACAGTTCAACTCCTAGCCAGGGCACATGCCCGGGTTGCGGGCTCCATCCCATGCAGGAGGCAGCCGATCAATGATTCTCTCTCATATTTGTTATTTCTATCTCTCCTTCTCCTGTCATCTCTGAAATCAATAAAAATATATTTAAACAAACAAAAAACATGCTTGCTTCTAATGGAGCTTACATCTCTGGGCAGCTAATCTAATTTAAAGTCCATGTAGGGTCCTAACTGGTTGGCTCAGTGGATGGAGCGTCGGCCTGCGGACTGAAGGGTCCCAGGTTCGATTCCAGTCAAAGGCATGTACCTTGGTTGCAGGCACATCCCCAGTAGGGGTTGAGCAGGAGGCAGCTGATAGACGTTTCTCTCTTATCGATGTTTCTAACTCTCTATCCCTCTCCCTTCCTCTCGGTAAAAAAATCAATAAAATATATTTTAAAGTCCATGTAGGAAGATGGAAAAGCAAGAAGAAATAAAAACCAATTAAATTTCCATTAGAATAAGTAAACATTATTTATTATGGACCAAGTATAAATTATTATTCTATATAAAGATCATTACTAATCAGCAGTGAGCTTTGTAAGATCATCTCTACTGTCCTTTTTATTTATTGAATCCAACAAGGCTGCTCTTATTTTAACATTTTTCTTGAACTAAGTATTAGTAAAAAATATATCTAGTGAAGATAAAATGTAGTTAGATGTTTTCAAAGATTCTGTTCTTGCTCTCTCCCCATCTTATCTCCCCACACCACAGGGATAAAGCTCCTTATATACACTAGTATTACTACTACTTCTCTTGGCAGAACAAAAACACAATACAAGGATACTAGAAATATCTGGTTCTTTTTAATTAGCTATTGATGAAATAATAAAATAAATTTAAGTGGCACCTACTTTAACATTCAAGATAGTTCACTGAAAGATTATCTACAACACAATATGTTAAGCCTAATTGTTAAAATAACACCTCTTTTTTATTTTTTTCTCAAGAAAAGAGAAATAAAGGCATGACCAACAATTTGGGTTCATTTGGACGCTTACAGATTATTTTGTAGGCATACTGGCAGGCACAATGTTGAAAAAACAATGCACTAGATTTAAAAATAATGGTAAGATAAAACAGGAGACCAATTCATTTCAGATTTAATATCTGATATTAAAGAAAATATTCACCAAATATCACAATAGATCTTTTAATGACTATTTTTTAACATTAAGAGTATTGTATTAGCGAACACCTTATCTTTGAACATTTGTTCAATGTATTAAATAATTTATAGAGAGAAATAAGTTTTGTGTTCTGTACAAATTAAAAGACCCATGAATATATCACCCTCCCCCCGCCAAAGCTCGAATTCGCAATGGTCTCAGCAGAAAATAAACAGTTCACAATTTAAACAGAATTCATAGCATTACAAAAGTTTACAGAACTCCTCTCTTATCATTTTTTCTAATAGCAAAGATTACAATGACAGAACTGAAAGATCAGAATGTAAAAATATTTGTGCAAAACTGCATTAATTGTTCTTACCATTTAATAGAGGTAAAACCTATGAACACACAAGGACAATAATAAAGAAAAACTACATTGAAAATCATTCTATTTTGGGTTTCAAACAACATGGATTATACTCTTACTAAACATTAAAGAAAATGTGGCACCATGAGCAGCAGGAGCAACAGATGATTTCGGCAGCTGTGCCAGCCAAGGACGTTGACACTGGAATATGCCGAAGCTTACCTCCACACCAGCCATCCATCTTCAAGCCTGGAAACAACTACAGGGCTGACACCTGACGGCAATGTCTTTATTCTTGAAAGTTGTAGGTCATAATGACATAGTCGAGAAAGTCCTTTCCCCCTCTCAAGGAGTGCTTCTTGTGTCACTGGAAATCCTCAGAAGAGTTGAATCATAGACTCTCTGGACTTCCCTACACCAATCCATTTAACTGAGAGAGGAAAATAAAGTATAAGAATTGTATTAATTCATTTATAATGTTGAATCTGGGATGAAGAGACCCCCCCCCCCCCACACACACACACACACTTTTCTCATTGTCACCATTTAACTTTGCCCTAGGTGCCTTTCATTACCTTTTGTTCCATTCTGGAGCAGATTGTGCCAATTTCTAAACCATTAGCATGTGCAGGTGAGATCCAGCACAGAGTAGTTTGCTTTAACGTTTCCTGTTTTAATGCACAATATTTACAATTCCTCAATTCCTAATCATTAGGATAAAAAATATTGGCCCAAACCAGCAGAGACCTAAAGAACCTTTGATTAAGTTTCTACTAGAAAAGATAAGCCCTTTTGATGAATGGATGATGCTAAGATGATACTGAAGTGTCACAGTACCTTTTATATCTCATAAAAGTAGAATTTTCTGGAAGAGAACACTGTGTTAACTAGCACAGCCTTAGGAATTGCCTACTGTACCAGCCTACGGGCATCTCTAATCATCTGCAGGTCCTGGGCAAATCTTATGAATTTTACAGAAAAATTGTTAAATTCGTTGTTTATATTTCAAACAATGTTGATTCAGGGTGAGTTGACTGAATTTGACAAACTAGCAGGGGCAGGTAGCAATATGGAAAACATAATTCATGTTTGAGATGAAAAATCAGAATAGATTATATGGAGGATACCTCCCACCCACTTCACTTTCTGTCTCTCAGCTCCCCATCAGTACAAATAAAAGGGAAAAAGCAATGTGTTAAAACAAAGACTTCACATAACTAGTCACAGCCATAAACCTGGTTATCCTAATTCCCGGGCCAGCTGACATTTCTTCATTCTTTATTCTTCTCTTACATTTGTTCCAACTAGAGTTCCTATTTTCTGTACCTGTTATTTTCTAATGTTTAGTCAGGAAACGCCTCCAATTCTCAATGGTGGTTTAACCCCAAATGAAAAACCACACACTATTTTGGGGGTAATGCAGACACAAAAGGAGGTTATTTAAGAGGGAGAAGGACACAAGAATCAATGTCATAGGGTGAAAAGCAGACTAACAGAAGACAGGGTCAAAAATGGTGAGAGGAATCTTTTGTCTTCAGGCACATGAAGGATTAAAGAAAGATAATTATATTTACTCTAAAGAATAAAATTGTTTTATTTCTTCCTGGGCATCTATGCAAATCACAAGTGCTCTATGAATAATAATCTTTTATCCTATTTCAAAGGTAGACAGTCAAGTCAAAAGTAGAAAAAGCAAAGACAGTAGTTCGTAAAGTGT